CTCATGGTCCAGGATCTCGCGGTGCCCGCGCTTCACCAGGCCAGGCTCGGCGGCGCGCAGCTCCTCTTCCGCTCGCGGCCAGGTCCCGGAGGAGGCGCCGGGCTGCGGGAAGCCGTTTGCAGCGTCGGGCGGGGACGGCATGCTGGCCGCCCCGTTGTTAACGGTGGAGGACATAGCGGCTGGCCTCGGAGCCGCTGGTCTCCGCCCTGCAGGACAGACACAGGCGGAGTGGTCACTTCTCGGCCACCTGCTAAGCTCCTCTCTGTAGCAGGTTAATCCTGGAGATTTAAAGGTCCACTCAGGGCTCTAATCCACTTCCCCTCAGGCTGCGGAGGTGGGTGGATTCCAGGTTTGCACCTTTGGGTCACGCTTCAGGGCATGAAGGGGGATTGGACACTGGGCTTTACCTAGCTGTAAGATGGGTGGATGCAAGCCGGACTAGATGGCCCCTAAGGGCCATTGGCTTGGAATGGAGTCATCTCCAAGGATCTAGTAACCACCTAGGGCAACCTTCTCTGCCTTGTACCAATGCCTGGGCCTCACCACCTAGACCCTGCCTGCACACCTGCTTGCAACTCCCCAGGCAACCAAATTGGTCCCTGGAACATTTGTTAGTTTTATTGTTGTTTTTCCTTCAGGCTCAGTTTAAACGCCTCCTCCCCCAAATACTCCTTGTCCTGGCTCTGGCCTGTGGGATCTTAGACCACATGTGCTCCCACCTCCCAGTCTGCTCCCAGGGCAGTCCTGCAGAGGCGGGAACATGGAGCCTTCTCCAGGCTCGGGCATTCCCACCACAGATGCAGTTTTCAATTCTCACTTTGATCTGGCCAACGTCTCCAAAGCCAATAGCCCAGGTAGGGATCTGATCCAGACTGAAGCCCATAGGACTGCCCCCTCCTTTGTTCTGGAAACACTGCTTCTGAGGATGTGACCAAACGTGGCACTGACATTAGCTTTCCAGGCAGCCACATCCTTCTACAGGCTCAGGGTGACATGGGAGTCAGCATGGCTTTGGAGGTAAGAAGTCCTGGCTCCACGCTAGGCCCAAAGTAGAGCATGCACATCCATGTGTGCGAGCACACGCATGTGTGCACGCAAACATATATACCAAGGACCTATCTTAACAGAGGATGGCACCTCCTGAGCTATTTCCATTTCCTTTCTCCAAAGCTCTGCTAGTTGCTAAGCAACAGGGAGGCCTCCTTCTCAGGGAGTGGGATAGGAAAGAGGGAAGAGGTGGAGGGAGGTGGGAAGAGAAAAAGGGATTAGGCATGTCTGGACATTCTGGATGGACCTTCCCTGCAGGACAGCCCCCAACACACACCCCTACTGGCCTCAGAGTGATGGGGATGGGGAGCATTCGGAGCCACAGAGACTGGAAGGCAGAGAAAAGAAAGGGGGACTGTGAGGGACAAGAGGCTCTGAAGGGGACAGAGTGACAGTGGTGATGAGAACATAAGCGCCTTTATATGGCCATCCCCTTAAGTCTCAGATTCCTGGGTTCTAGGCCAGGTTCCTCCATTCCTTGCTATGTGACTCTGAGAACA